TTTTTATTAAAAAGAAACCCCCCCCCCCCCCCCCCCCAAGAGCATTTGAATAATATGTGAGTCGGGCTGAAGAAATGTGGACGTCCCCTCAAATATCTACGTCAGAGATTATTTATCAATGAAGCTGACATCGATCTCTTAGTTACGGTGACGGATCTCACTGTCGCCTGCTGCCGTCACTTAGCGGTGGCCCAGTACACGCGACGATCACAGACGTTCAGAGTCTAAAGCTACCCGTCTTTCAAAAAATAGGTGTAACGGCTGTATGTGGACCACCCACCCACTCCAACAGTGTCTCTCCCCCAAGATGTCTGATTTCGCAAGAAATAGATAACAGCAAGGATGTTACGTCACTGGCTGCACTTAGCGTTTTGGAGTGAGAGTAGGAAAAATAGTCTCAACCCCCCCTTCCCCCCCCCCCCCCACAAAAACCCCCACCCCCCCCCCCCCCCCCCCCCCCAAAAAAAAACAACAAAAACAAAAAACAACAACAACACTACAGGGAACTGGTAGCGGTATAGTCTTAATATTTTAGTTTAGCCATCGCTCTCTTGAGGACGATCACATCAGAGTAGCCACAGATACGTTTCAGTGTCGATCTATGGACAAAAAGAGTCCATATTCTAGACGTTTCAAATCTCTTTAAGTTTAAATGTCCTGTCGTGGAGAGTTCACGTTTGCGGGTCATTGCGAACCAATCAAACAAATGTTCGGCTCCAAGAGCTTGGATCCTGGCCAAAGGTCGCTCACATCCATTGAAAAAAGTCGTTGGTGGGAAATACAAGGTCGTACGTTGACATTTACGATAGATTCGTCAATGCGTAAAAAAAAAAAAAAAAAAAAAAAAAAAGGTCGCTCACATCCATTGAAAAAAGTCGTTGGTGGGAAATACAAGGTCGTACGTTGACATTTACGATAGATTCGTCAATGCGTAAAAAAAAAAAAAAAAAAAAAATAATTAAAAAAAAAAAAAAAAAAAAAAATCATTAAAAAAAGAAAAAAAAGATCTTTATGACGTTCTAGATTTGGCATCATTATGATTAAATAAATCATGTCATTTTGCAATATTAGCCTAGACATCGCACAGGTGACTACATAGAGCAGTTGGATATAAAGACGTACCGGTTAACCCCCCCCTCTCTATATCTCCCTCCCTCTTTCATTCTCCTTCCTGGTCTCTTTCCGTCTCTCTTTCTCCTCTCTCTCATATCTATGATCTATCTCACACTCCCCCTCTCTCTCTACCACTCTCTCTATCTCCCTCTCTATCCCTCTCTCCATCCCTCTTTCTCACACCCTCTCTCCATCCCTATCCATCCTCCATTCTCCCTCACATTTTCTCCCCCCCCCCCCCTCTCTCTTTGCAGTTGTGATAAGCTACTTTATTTTATTTTTTTATATTTTTGTAAACTCAAAGTGGTTTGTCCCTTTGTGGTCAGAGCCCAGAGCGAATGGATCGATGTTATTGGACAGCTATTTAAATTTAGAGTAGCCTAATTGATTATTTACGATTGGATGCATAACGACATCTTTATAAACACGAAATGTTGATTTTTAAAAATGATGTTTACGTAGACATGTGTTATCCCCCCCCCCCAAACTGCCCAACACTACCCTTGTTCCTCAAAACAATCGACCTAATGTGGAATGCCAATTCCATCTATCAAATTATGTAAGCTATTAAAAAATTTATAAAAAAAATGTTCCAATATATCAACGAGTGATGGCATTTCAAAAGTATATTTTTTCCCCCATTTAAAAAAAAAAAAAAAATTGCCTGGCGTGTTCCCAAGTTGGAGAACATCAATAAAATTGAATTTCCCAATTTGAGAACATCAATAAAATTGAATTTCCCAATTTGAGAACATCAATAAAATTGAATTTCCCAATTTGAGAAGACATTGTGTGCCGTCCCTGTTTCCTGACTACGTCAGCCATCAAATCTTGAATTCAAGAATGACCCCCGTGGTCCACGGTCGACGTTTGTCACTGTTCGTCAACACGCGTCCATTGTCTAACTGACTCTGTGACGGAGTTCAGAGACAATCGAATCATAAATATAAGCGGCTGATTGCCAGCTCTGATCTTGTCGTTTAGAG